AAGCATGATCCATTGATTATTCCCAATTCAATTCTCAAATTGTTGAATCTTTCCCTTGGTAGAGGTTTTGTAAAAATATCAGCTAATTGCTTGCTAGTTTCTACAAACTCTACAACACAATCATTCCTTTGCACATGATCTCTCAAAAAGTGGTGTCTTATCTCAATATGTTTTGTCCTTGAGTGCAAAATTGGATTCTTGGTTAAATTTATTGCACTAGTATTATCACACCTCAAAGGAATTTTGTTCAATTCAACTCCGTAATCTCTTAATTGTTGTTTCATCCAAAGAATTTGGGCACAATAGCTTCCAGCAGCTATGTATTCAGCCTCAGTTGTACTTAAAGCAACACAAGCTTACTTTTTGCTATGCCATGAAACAAGTGCACTACCTAGCAAGTGACAAGTTCCACTTGTGCTCTTTTTATCTAGTCTACACCCAGCATAGTCTGAATCTGAGTAGCCTATCAAACTTAGTGAGACTCCCTTTGGATACCACAACCCCACATTAGTTGTACCTTTCAAATACTTAAGAATTCTCTTCACACTCTTCATATGAGATTCTTTAGGATTAGCCTGAAATCTTGCACATAGGCACACAACAAACATTATATCAGGCCTACTTGCTGTCAAGTACAAGAGTGATCCAATAATCCCTTTGGTTAAGGTCGTTTGGGGAGGAAATTTTGAAGAAAGTGCTACATGGGAATTAGAAAGCAAGATGCGAGAAGCTTATCCATTTCTGTTTTCAGGTAAATTTCGGGGACGAAATTTCTAAAAGGAGGGGAGAATTGTAACACCCTGAATTTTCTACTGATACAATCTTAATTATTATTTATTTTTATATTTATGAAGATTATTTTCTTATAGTTATTTTAGTTAATTAAAGGGGTTTTATAGAATATTGTAAAGGTTTGTAATAATTTAAATTATTTATGAAAATATTTATATAAAATTCTATTTTTTTAGGCCGGAACGGGCTGTTCTAAAAGTGGAACGGGCCGTTCCAAACGATGAAAGTAAACTATTTTTGAAGTAGCAGAACGGGTCGTTCCAAAAGTGGAACGGGCCGTTCCAAATTAGTAAAAAGGCCCATTTGGGTTATTACAGAACGGGTCGTTCCCAAAGTGAAACGGGTCGTTCCAAGGTTCTAAAATTGCCTAAAAACCTTAGTTAGAAATGGGCCTTCCAACTATGGTTAATAAGTATTAACATGAACCCCAGAACGGGCCGTTCTGATTTTAGAACGGACCATTCCAGTTGAAAATTTTACGTATATTCGAAGGGTCCAGAATGGGCCGTTCCGGATCCAGAATGGGCTGTTCCGGATCCAGAACAGGTCGTTCTGAGTATCCCTGGATGCTTATAAATAGGAGGCATGGGGTGAAAAAAAAATTATAACTGAGAAGGGTGAAAACTTAGAGAGAGAAAGAGAAAGAGAGAGAGAGAAAGAAAGAGAGAGTCCAGAGGAAGAGAGTAACAAGGTCCTGCTCAAGTTTCAGCTCCTGCTTATCGAGGTAAAGGGGGAGTGACAAACCTCGCTCGAGGGTGTGGGAATAATTGTTGGATAGTCTGATTGTCAGATTGGCCCCCAATCCCTTGCCTGTTGCATGCTTCTAGGAACATGCAAAGTATTAATGTGTTCTGTTTTGTACTATAAAAGTTATTTAATTAAGTTGCATATATTACAAGCAAATACATTAGAACAAGTAGTTATTGTTATGTTTAATAAGATTATTTGCTCTTCCATTAATAGGATTCAATTTTCATTGTTATTTTTGTTGTTTGTGGTCCCTTAGAGAAAAAAAATTGTGGTTAAACCGGTTTGACGCACCAGTTCATTGATCGAACTAGAAAATTGACCGGTTCACTCTAATTTGAAACAGGCCGAATGCATAACCGATCCAACTTAAGATTCAGACCGACGGTTTCTGGTTCAACTAGTCCAATCCAATTTTTAAAACACTCTTCTAAGTAATCACTTTTTGTATTATTATTTTATATTTTTAATTTTTTAAATTTAGAGACGGGTGTTTTTCAAATAATAATAATAATAATAATAATAATAATAATAATAATAATAATAATAATAATAATAATAATAATAATAATAATAATAATAATAATAATAATAATAATAATAATAATAATAATAATAATAACACTGTTCCTGTTCCCAAGAAAAAATATTTTGATAAGGAATGCATTATTTATTTATTTATTTATTTTTAATTTTTGCTATCCATCGATTATTTTCAAATAATTCATTCACTCATTTAATACTGTTAAAGTCTTGACTCTCATCTCATCCAAAACACCTCGAGTTTAATGATCATCGTAGTGTAAGAAATTTTTACACATGGGATAAATAAGAAATCACAATTTATACCTTTTTTTTTAATTGTCAAATTTTTAGTTTTTTTTTTAATTTTCAAATTTTTAGTAATTTTTTTAATTTTAAGCCAACATTAATTATTATGTTATAATTATATCTTCTATATTCTAATTAAATTTTAATTAATTTATATATAATAATTAATATTCATTTATTATAAAGTAAAAAATAAAAAAGGTATAATAATAAACATAAAAATCATTTTATAAAAAATAGAAAAATTTAGAGTAAATTATGTAATCCTTTTGCGAGAGATAAGAGTATTACATTTACCTAGGAATGGCAACGGGACGGGGCGGATACGGGTTTCATGATACCTGTTCACCTCCTCGCGAGCCAAACTCATCCCCGTCTCTGTACCGGTACCCGTCGGGTATGTGATTTTCATCTCCATCCCCGTTCCCGTCGGATATCGCGTATACCCGTACCCGTACCCGTCAAATTTTTTATTTTTCTATTTTTTTTAAAATATAATATTTTTAAATTATTTTTTAAATTATATTATAATTATAATTAGGTTATTTCTTTATCTCATATTATAATAAATAATCACACATAAAAAAATATTAAAATTATTTAATATAATTAAATTGAAAGTGGGTATTAAATTAAAAATGAGAACGGGGACGGGTACGGGGCAGGTAAGTAGATACCCGTACCCGTACCCGTACCTGATTTAATATATCTGGTTTTACCCGTACCCGTACCTGCCCGTATCCGTATCCGATTTAATATATCGGGTTTTACCCATATCCGTACCCCGTACCCGGTCAAACCAGGTATTATCCGTCAAAGTCGGGACGGGTTCGGGTATTACCCGCAGGTACGGGTATATTTGTCATCCCTACATTTACCTCCTATTTTGTGTTAAAATATACAATTTATTCTATTTAACTTAATGCTTTTAATGTAAATTACATTCTCCTTTCTTGAGAAATGTAAATATTACACTATCCATCCTGTATATGTTAAAATATAAAATAAGTTACATAAAAGTTTCACGTATTATATTATCACTATTTTATTATATTAACTTAATATGACTAAAGAATTATCATTATAAAATTTCAAAAATTACTTTTTATTTAATTATTTATAATAAAAAATTTAGTTTAATTATTCATAAAAAATATAATTTTAATAAAATATATTTTAAAATATTTTTAATTCATTGTCATTCATT